ATCTCCCCCCTGGTGGAGGTGGAGGGATTTAGAGTCATGGTCAGCCCAGTCTCCCAGATCCTCCACACATCCCTCCCTCCTAAGAGCCTCCCTCGTAGGACCTGCCCCTAGCTCCTTGGAGGCTCCAGGTGGTTGAGGGCAGTGGGAGCAGAAGGGGGGTCCTGGCAGCCGAAGCCTCTCTGCTGCTGAAGGCCTCTCTGCTGCCACTGCTTGGTAACAGGGGTCTGGGGTGAGATGGGCGAGCACCCCACCTGCTCTGAGAGGTTAGGGCATGTAGAGTGGGGAATGAACAAGGCTGGAGGAGCCTGCCCACTGGCCACTGGCAGACGTTCTCAGCTAGCATTTAGTGAGCACTTACTGTGTACCCAGCCCATGCAAGCACACTACAGGTCTCACTGGATCCTCACAATGTGAGGTAGGTGCTATTATGACCCGCATTTTACAGAAGAGGAAACTGAGCCACAGAGAGAAGAAGTAGCTTGCCGGAGGTCCCACAGCCATTAAGTGGCAGAGCCAGGACGCAGCCCACAGTCATCAGACTCTGAAGCACGTCCTTGTCACCACTTGGCCACCTGGCCTCCCTGCTCAGCAGTAGAGCATCTTCTGCACATCTGTTCTGCAGCCTGCAGAAAGGAGTGACTATCCAGCGTCCCTGTGCACAGGCCCCTCCTCCCCCTCCCTGTCTGGACTCATCCGGCTCCACTGTGCTTTCTCCTCCGGAGTTCTCTAGAAACCTTGCACTAGATAACGATTAGAGATGGAGCAGTGGTGAGGCAGTGTTGCCCACAGGCGGGATTGGCAGTGAGCATACGTTTCTGCCCGAGGTTCTCTGGGTACTGGGACGATTTGGTTCCGTTACCAGGTGGGATTTGGGTCAGTTAGGTGCTTCTCACAGAAAAGCATTGCCATGCTTCAACGGCTGTGAAAGCAGAGCAGGAGGATGGGCTGTGCCTGGGTGGGGCAGGGGCCTGGGGGCCTTCCCGGAGGAAGGGACATGTGAACCAGGCCTTGAAGGATAAGTAGGATTTGGCTATAGGAGAGGGTGAAGACAAAGACTCAGGGTGCCGGGAGGGCCTCCTGGGTCAGACGAAGGAAGGTGACAGATTCCTGAGGGCTGGGATGGGGTGAGGAGGGAGGAGGGCCCAGCTGGGAGGGGTGCTGGGAGGGGCAGCCTCCCAGCCCTGACTCTGTGAGCCGAGAGGGCCGCGGGCTGTGGAGCGATGCCAAGGTCAGTCAGGGTGTCCAGCAGTCGTCCTAGTGCTCTACCTGCTCCGGAACAGTAATGAGAGGTTTCCATTATTTTCGGGTGAGCGCCCCTGGCAGATGCCGACAGCCAGCAGATGTGTGAGGTCCGAGGTGATTTGCAAGGGACTGGTTCATGTGATCCACAGTAATTGCACCAGGCGACGTTGTCACTCAGAGGCTTGTTCTGGCCTGCTGGGATGAGGTAAAGGTCAGTTCAGAGAGCCCATGTGGCCGCAGGAAACGGGGGCAAATCCCGCTATCGGGGGGCTCCTGGGGAGGTGGTGGTCTCAGGGGCCACCTGGCCAGAGCCCTGCTCCGGGCTGCTGGGGCCCTGTGGTTGGCCCCCTGCCCCTGGGTTTCTTGGGTGTTGGGGGGATAACATAGCCTGTCCCAGAGCTGAGCTCAGCCCCGATGCTGAAATCCCTCAGATTCGCTCCCTTTGGGGGGCTCTTCGCAGGCTGTGCCTCCACCCTGAAGCCGCACCTGACTCGGGCTTTCCCGACATTCTGAGTTCTTGTGTTCCAGGCCTCCCAAGGCCAAATCTGTGACATCTGGCAGCAGACCGCCCCCCCCAGGAGATGCTGAGGACTTGGTTCCTCGGCTGTCTTAGTGGGTTTGGGCTGCCATAACAGAATTCCACAGACTGAGGGGCTTAAACAACAGAAGTTTATTTTCTCACAGTTCTGAAGGCTGGAAGTTCAAGATCAAGATGCCAGCAGGGTCAGTTTCTGGTGAGGGTTCTCTTCCTGGCTTATAGGTGGCCACCTTCTTGGTGTGGCCTCTTCTTTGTGTGCACAGAGAGGGACAGATCTTATGTGGACACTAATCCTTTCAGATCACAGCCCCATCCTTATGACCTCATTTAACCTTGGTTGCCTCCTTAGGGCTTCAACATATGAATTTGCGGGGGGGACACAATTCATTCCATAGCACTCGCCATCAGTGCTGACACATCATCTCACGCTTTCTGGCCCCTGTGCACGCACAGGTGCGCCCCACACACCCCTCCCCACCTGCAAAGTGTCAATTTCCCTTCCAGTGGGGAAGAGCTGGCCTGTGTTCCTGAGGCTGCTGGCCTTGCCTGGACACGGTGCTTTCCTTATCATGATGGAAAGCGTCAGCCACCTTTGCTCGCTGGTGTGTGGGTCTCTGCAAGCCACCACGGGACAGTTGAGAGCTGATGGGCTCTGCTGCTTACAAGTTGTGTGATGTTGTATGTCTCTGCCTCCCAGAGCCGTGTTTTCTTGTCTCTGGAATGGGGATAATGGTTCTTGCCTCATCACTCATTTACTTGGTCAGCACACACTTAGTGAGAGCCACCTGCATGCCAGGCACCGTCCCTGGGGATGTACGTAAGGGACAGACGGTGTGGCTCTGCCCTCGGGGAGTGAGGACAAAATTGGATCACGGGTACTGACCCCGAGGCTCGGCTCAGTGTAATGTTGCATTCATGCTTTACCATTTTAATAATAATAATGAACACTTTTATCATTTTCAGTGATTAAGAAAAATGAAGAGAGGACCTAGGACTCATCCCAAGTGGTCAGAAAGTGTCAATAGTGACACATCAAAAGGGGGTGTGATCAGGGGGCACAAATGGACAAACCCCCAGGGAGGGGACTTCCCTAAGCATTTTGCACCAGATATTTCAGGGGCTGATTTAATCCTAAAACGTACTTTGCTTTTAAAGCATGTGTTTTGGATGAACTTACAGTGAGTGGTGTTTCCAAAGAGACCGGTAGCTGAAGTGTCCTAACGTGGGTTCCGTTATTTACTGTTTTTTCATCGGCATCTGAAGTTGTGTATGGAGTGGCAGATGTGCGGCACTGTCATCTCACTGTCACACGGATTGTTCACTGTTCTGAGAAGGTCACATCGCAATTCATTAGCAATAATTAGTCCCCCAGCACCCCTGCACTTCCTCACTCAGCGGCTCCATTAACTTGGATGCGAATCACGCATTCACGCATTCCAGGCGCCAATCAGTGAAGACCCGTCAGTAATGTACAAGGTGATGCTATTAGTTAGAATATATTAACTGCCTAATTTAAAAATACAAAAGCTGTCTTTATGAAGGGCAATTAACTACTAAGCGTAATTGATAATTCATAGCCCTCTGATTAGGAAACACAAATACTAAGAAAGGACTGAATCACCTGGGCTATTGACGAAGACATTGTCAGCCTCTCGGTTTTCATTCACTCTGTTGTCAGTAGATTACAGATTTCTTCCCAAATCGCACCTATGGGCTCCGGGTGCTGGAGGATCTAGAGGCCCATCATAACGTGGGAATGCGTGTTTCCACCCCTGAATCCTGTCTGTTTCCCTCGGGGCTTGTGAGTGGGCTGCAGGCTCAGGACACCCTTGGGGAAGCAGTAGGGGTGGTTGGCATGGTCATAAGGAAGGGTACCTCTCACTGGCTGTCATTTGGATTTTCCATCAGTCAGTCATTCAGCAAACATTTATCTGGGGGCTGCTGTGTGCCAAGCCCTGTGTGAAGCACTAGGAATGCTGAGGAGAATAGCATCCCATTCCTGACCTCATGGAGCACAAAGGTTTGGGGGAGAGAGAGTAAACAAATATATAAATGGGGTGATTGGAGCTGCTGGTTAGTGTTAAGAAGAAAGAAAAACATGGATAGAGAGGGGTGGGGGCAGCGTCACAGAGGATGGTGGGAGAAGGGGCATCGGACAAACCCGCCACCTTTCCCCAGTTGCTTTCATTGCTAGGGAGTTGCGTTCAGATCTCCTCCACCCCAGGGTGGGGCAGAGTGCCTGAGCCGTCCCCGAACCTCCTCTCTAGCTTCTTTATCTGGCTCAGTGGTTCTTTAGGCCTGACCAGGGCCTGAGAGGGCAGGGGCCTGCGCTGTGCCTGTTCCTCCCTCTGCTCTGCCCACATTCCTTTGCCATCTCCGTGTCCCTCCTGCAGGATTCCAGTTGGACCCTGGGAAGCCTTGTCTAAGACCCCACCTGGGACGAGACCTTTCTGTCCTCTGGCCCCCGCTCGGTTTGTAGGGTAGCTCTGGTGCCCATGCTGCCTGTTCCTGACTCCACAGAAGTCCCAGGATCCGTGTTGGGGTCCAGTAGGAATTAGCCCACAGCCTGGATCTCGGATACAGGAGGAAGAACAGGAAGCACTTCACCTTTCTGAGACTTGGTGTCCTCACTTGTAAAGCGGGACAAAAGTATGTTCCTGCTGGGTTGAGGTGGAGTTGCATTTTTAGTTAGGTCTCACTTATTTGTGCAAATGGAGGTTGATTTCATGCCGTAGTTCTGAGTGTCTGGGTCTGATCTAGGTGTTACCTCTGGACATGGGGCGAAATCTGTATGCCCAAAGTTGAAGCCCATACCTCCCATATATGTGTATTTATTTATAAATAATAAATGATAGATTATGCATTTAACACTCTTTTTATGTAATACTTATAAAAAATATAAAGCTGGAAAGGATGGGTGACAAGTAAGGATATCTTCCTGTGTCTTCAGAGTCCACTGACGGGGACGTGTTGGGGACCTGTTACAACAGTGCTGGTGATGATTAGCCTGCCCAGGTAATTTTACCAGGGTTTCCTGGACCTCCTGACTTGCAGCCTGGTGTCTTTCCCACGACCCCATACTGCAGCTCTGTGCAGATGTCAAATGTGACTCCTCCCTTGCTGTGACTGGGATTTGTCCAGGGAGGGCCTTGTGCCTGAGCCGGGGCCTGTGTGGGCCTGTATGGCCCACCCGCCTCTGCAAACTCCTCTTGTCCCGCAGGCCCCTTGCTGGGCACAGCTGCGCTGGCCTCCTCTCCCGGCAGCCCAACCACAGCGCTGACTGTCGCCAAGTCTGCCCTTCCCTCTGCTGGTCATTCTTCCTTTGCCTAATTGCACGGCCGGCGCCTTCTTTCCCTTCAGGTCTCAGCTCCTGAGCTGTCTCCCTAGGGAGGCCTTCCCTGCACTCCCACCCACCCTGGCCGCCCTCTGTCTCTTCACTCGTTTACCTGCTTCATAGCACCTCTCTTTTCTCAATCACAAACTCCCCTTCCTTTGGCGTAGATTCGCACTCCACCTGCCACACTGTGGGCCCCAGGGGAGCAGGAGCCTGCCTGTGGTCCCGGTGGCAGTTCCGTGCCTTATCCCAGCCAGGCACTTAGTAGGTGCTCAATCACTGTTTGTAGAAGGGGTCGGTGTTATTTCATTTGGAGCCTCTGTGCTTCTGCCTTGTGGCTTTGCATTCCGAGAACCGGCCCCAGTGCAGCCAGGACAGCGGTCTCCTGTGAGCTCAAGCGGGAAGACGGTCTCCTGTGAGCTCAGGCGGGAAGACGGTCTCCTGTGAGCTCAGGCGGGAAGACGGTCTCCTGTGAGCTCAGGCAGGAAGACGGTCTCCTGTGAGCTCAGGCAGGAAGACGGTCTCCTGTGAGCTCAGGCGGGAAGACGGCAGCGCTGCTGACGCTTGGCAGCATCTCAGGTTCACGTCTGTTAGCTCTGGGTTTGCGTGCGATCCTCTGTCTACCTGATGACTCTGTCTGGCAAGCCTTTCTTCAGTGACAGCCATGAGAAGACACGCCTCTGCTTGGTCCCTCAGCCTTTGTACTTTTTGGGAAATATGGATCCAGAGTTAATAAGGCATACGTAGCTCAGATGCAGAGTGGAAGTACTAATTGTTGTGGAAAGGTACAGGGAAATTGCTACGGATGTTCGGAGATGACCCCTATCGGGCTGAGCAGGATGGTGTGGTGGAGGGGAGGTGTCAAGAGTGTGGATCTCAGAGGGTGGGAGAGTCAGCACTTGTGGAGAGGTGGCATGTCCCAGGAGGAGGGAGCGGGGACGTGTCCCAGGAGGAGGGAGCGGGGACGTGTCCCAGGAGGAGGGAGCGGGGACGGTGTCCCAGGAGGAGGGAGCGGGGATGGTGTCCCAGGAGGAGGGAGTGGGGACCTGTCCCAGGAGGAGGGAGCTTGGACGTGTCCCAGGAGGAACGTTGGGGAGTCTCAGGTGTGCCAAGCTCAGTGAGGATGAAAAGGAGAGTTGTGGGGCACGGTCGGGTCCCCTGAAAAGGATCTGCTCAGCTCAGAATCCCAGCTCAGAAATCCCAGCCTAAACATACCTGGGGTCAGTTGAGGCCCACCTCAGGCCCCCGCGGTGACCTGGGCTGCTCTGGGACAGTACCCACAGCCCTTGGAGAAGCATCCATCTAGCTTCCTCCCCTGGAGACCCCACGCTCTGCCTGTTGACAGCACCTCTGCCTGTCATTTCCACTTTCAGACTGAAGCGGTCCAGGCTGAAGGTGAGGTTCTGCACCAACGAGTCACAGAAGTCCCTGGAATACCTAGTGGGGTTGCTTCGGGGACTGGGCTTTGACATCTCCGAGGGAGACGTGACCGCCCCGGCCCCAGCCACCTGCCTGATCTTGAAGGAGCGAGGCCTGCGGCCACACCTGCTCATCTCTGATGGTAGGCCTGCTGCGGCCCTGGGACCTCATGGGGGTGAAGGCACCCCCTTTCTTGGGTGGGGCTAGGGGAGGGCATCCACTGTCACCTGGGCCAAGCCACTGGGAAGGACACAGAGGTAACACTTGGCTCCTGTGGGATGGAAACTTTTGGGGCTTCCTGCTGGCGACCTGGCCCATCCATCCCTTGGCCTCATACCAGAAGGTCTCATATCAGAGGGTCCTCAGAGGCAGGTTCCAGATGGCTCCTCGGAGGAAAACCCTGAGCTGGCTTTCTTTAATCCAGGATGGACCACGGGGGCAGGGAATTATCAAGGGGGCAAAATTCTTCTGTGTGTGTGTGGCAGGGAGGGGAGAGACAGAGATGCAGAATGAAAAGCCAGATTGAGGTCCATAAGGTTTCTAACGTCTGGCAGCCATAGCCTTGAAGTATATTTGTTTTTTTTTTTGTTTGTTTTTTGTTTTTTTTTTTTAAAGATTTTATTTATTTTATTTTTCCCAAAGCCCCAGTGGATAGTTGTGTGTCGTAGCTGCACATCCTTCTAGTTGTTGTATG